TGAGTTCCTGCTTTTCCTCTACCTTCAACAGTTTCTTTCTCTCTCTTTTGGGTTTTGCAATCAGTGTGGGAAGAGACCGCAGCTGCAGCTAACAGCCATATCACTGCACCTCCCCTGTGGGTAGCTCAGCAGAGCAGATAGTTGATTCCCTGAACTATTCTCAAAGAAAAAACCGTCCCACTCTATTCCTTTAAACTGTGCATCCCTGTGTGGCTTAGGATATATCTAAGCAAGGCAAACTGAAGAGTGATGGTTTAGATAAGGAAAACCAGTATAGTAAGGTTCTTGTGATATTTTTTGTTTGCTTCTGTTTTTCCTGTTCTGCTTCTCCTGCCCTTGCTCTCCTCGACGTTTCAGACTCTCACAGGCACATACAGTGCATGTGCATCCCAAATATGTTTATTCACACTCTTTTGTCTTTTCCTGGAGAAAGATAACCCACAGAACGCTAAACATATTTTTCTGAAAAAAAATTTTCTGTGTGAAAGATTCATCAGGATGAAAAACAGTTTCCATTGTATCCTAACAGTAGTTTTAAAAAATTGCAATTTTTTGGGGGTATTATTTGTTCATTTTTGTTTCAAATATTAATTTATTTCAAACAATATTGACAGCTCTATTTGCAGCCTGGTAATTTAATATTTTTAAAGTATTTTTTTGGGCAAGACTTCATGAGTTATGCATAAGGGAACCTATTAAGTGCAGTGTAGTCATACATGAGTTATTACTACACAGAGCAGCAACTAGAAGTACATGGACCATGCAGTACTTGCAGTTATCCAACTGGCACCATTTTCACATTATTGTAGCCAAAAACCAGAGAGGAGTATTACTATGATACCATCTGTTCATGTGAGGAGCCTCCAGATTCTGCTGTCTTTCTAAACAGCTGCAGACGCTCCTGACGTCCCTCCTCCGGCCACGGCAAGATCTCAGGGGTAAAGTAAAACAAGATACCGTATCCTAGGCTGTTTTTTTCCGTAGAAATGGTCTCCAGTCAGCCCTATAAAAGCAGAGAAAATTAACATTTTTGTTAATTTTGCCAGAATTACATAGTGTAGCATTTATGATACATGAGATAACACAGAAAGAAAGGGAATCTCCTGAAATGGACATTTCTCAGTATTAAAGTGGAAACTTAATTGGACTTTGAATCTGGACCTGATATGGCCATTTATGTTCAAACTTGTTTTGTGCTTTAACGTTCTGAAAACACGAGGAGAAGTTTCACTTGTTTAGCATGAAATGTAGCTGAGAGAAGCAGCCGTTCTGTAACTGCTGCTGTTACAGAAATTTTTTTTTGTTACTTTGTTTTGTTTTTTGAAAGCACACGCTGAAGCATGTACTCTGACTCTTCTTCTTCAGGAGATATTACCCAAGTGGAAACAATGTTTTTTCATAAACCAGAAAACATACAGTTAAAATATTTGTCCATTTCTTCTTTAGGAGAACATTTGAATCACTGAGGTAACCCTCAGAGTACGGACACACACGTAGATTCTCATCCACTCTAAAAGTAAATATGTTATAAATAAAAATTATTATATATGTAGAATATTAAAATTATATACACATTATATATTATTGTATTCTATATACATATTATATTAAAATTATATAGATATTAAAAAATCTGTTTTAGCAATACAAAGTCGCCAAAGATAAAAATGGCTTGTCTGCTAGGAATTACTGAATGCTAATGTCCCCACAAACTTCTCCAGATTCTAGAATTTTATTTAAATCACTGTACAAAGGAAACCTTTTCTTTTCAGTGGTGCATATTGGAAGCCTTTTGTTTAAAAATGTCTCAGTCAGTGAAAGAGTGTCTATGTTTAGAAGAGGTGAGTCCAACAGGTGTAGTCTGCTGAGTCTGTAAATTGCGTACATGCCCCTTAGATACTATTTATGCTGACTGTAAAATCAGCAAATTAAAATGCAACTTACTAAATCATGGCTGCGGCGGCATTTTGAAGCTGTGGCACTGGATCTGCAGGGGTTCAGGACTGGCACTCACAGACGTCTCTAGACACAGGAGGTACATTACACATGTGCCCTGCATCAGGCCAGAGCTGCCTGAATAAAGAGGAACAATGTTGATATTCAGTTTCGTGAGTCTGACGTCATCACAGACACAGTTTGGAGGCCAATTCTTTTATCACTTCCTTTTTCAGCCCAGTGCAGCAGGATGAATTCAATCACACAAATGGCAGCAAGAAGTCTCAGATGAAAGCAAATGGCAGGGAAATCTGGCAGCACGATTAACTTGCTTCTTACTGGATGCTAGTCTTGCTGCTGAAACCAACAAAAGATCTTACTCTTTTAATAATGAGATATTAATAGATTCAAGTATTACAATTTTTATGTGCATAGGAAGTGCTACATCAATATTTATTTTTTTACTTAGATGGAAATAGCAACCTGAAAACACAGGCTGGAGAAAAGTAAACATGGAATTGGCAAGATCAACTTTTTTTTTTCACTAGGTAACTACAATAAGCAGACTGATCTGGCCAGCCACTTCTACTGCAATATTTATTTCCATCTCACTTTTATAGTATTAGCCAACCCAGTCTGCTAAATAAGCACCATCTGATTTGATCTCCTGTGTTAGGCTGGGAATGTAGAACGCAATGGTTTCGACAACAAAAAGTTAAAGCTTGAGGCTTCTGAGGAAAAAAGAAGACTTTCTTACAAATAGTTTGGATTCTTAATACATCCTTTTCATTTGGCAGGTGAAATGGAACACATCCCACCCATACCTCTGTCGGTTAAAAAATTGGTTTTCTTCAGGCACAACAGCTGCAAAACAAATGCTGGGGGTGGGAAGAGAGGCAGGGAAGGAATGATAAGACATGTTTTTTTATAATTACATGAAAAGTCAGTGATTTAAAACCCAGTACTAAAATAAATCCTGGAAGCAAACAAGATCAAACTCAGCACTAAACACCTGCAGAGGGCTCAGTTTGACCAATAACAAAACCTCCCAAAATTTGTTCATTCATTGTACTGACTGCGAACACAGATCCCTTCACAGTAGTGCCAGCTGCAGTGTAAAACTACCCTGGGTTATAATCCTACTTTGTTGACAATTTTATGTGCCAGCAGGTGCTGTAGAGTTTTTTTCCCAGCTGCTATCACCCTTTTTGTCCAGCTTTTCTATTTTCCCAAAGGGCTGGGAAAGAGAAAATTCTAATAATGGCAGAGAAGGAAAAAGAAGAAACAGATAATGGTTTGTGTCAACAAAGGCATCAAGCGGAAAAAGCAGGCATTCCCCACTACGGCTAAATTACCTTTAGTTATGTACACCCCTGTGACTGGAATACTTTTTACTTTGAAGGGATTTCAGTGGAAATTTGCAAAAGGATTCCTGCTTCTTCTTGAACTTGAAAGTGAGTGTGTCTCGCAACCAACCTTCAGGAGCCAGACCAACACCCGACAAGGAATATGCAAATGCCAGCTCCAAAACTTGGGCTGACTCAGCCTGAGGAATTGTTTTGCATACTGAAATGAGTAAACTCACAGAGTCACAGGATTGATTCTGTTGGAAAAGAGTTCTGAAGTCATCAAGTCCAGCCTTTGACTGATCAACACCAAAAACAGACCAGGGCACTGAGTGCCACGTCCAGTCTTTTCTTAAAGCATCTCCAGGCACAGCGACTTCACCAACTCCCTGGCAGCCCCTTCCAGGGCTTAACAGCCCTTTCCATGAAGAAATTCTTCTTGATGTCTAGCCTAACCCCTGGTGCAGGTTAAGTCTGTGTCCTCTCATCCTGTCTCTGGGAGATCTATGTGTATAGAACTCCCCTGAGATAGCCCAACACTGCTCAGGGAGGACCAGGACATCATTTTTAAACCACAGCAAGTAGCCTGCAGGTGAGGGAGGAGTAAATTTGGGATAAGAAAAGTCTGGTGCAGCAAAACCTCTTGTTTATAAGGGATTTGTAGCCACATCACCAAATGAGTGCATTGAACATGCACAGCTGAAGGTGAGCCCAGGTGGGTAAGAGGCCAATGGTCCCTGTGCTGTCCCAGCCATGGGGTGTCACAGGCCCAGGGCAGTGCCCGGCCCTGTGCTGGGACTGCTGGGGCCACACCTCCAGTGCTGGGCACAGTTCTGGGCCCCTCAGACAAGAGAGACATTGAGGGGCTGCAGTGTGTCCAGGGAAGGGAACGGAGCTGGGGAAGGGTCTGGAGCACCAGGAACAGCTGAGGGAGCTGGGGGAGGGGCTCAGCCAGGAGAAAAGGAGGCTCTGGGGGGACCTTCTCGCTCTCTGCAGCTGACAGGAGTGGGGAGCCAGAGGGGTACTGGGCTCTGCTCCCAGGGAACAAGGAACAGGAGAAGAGGCCATAGTCATAAGCTGTTTCAGGGGAGGTTTGGGTTGGATATTAGGAAGAATTTCTCCACAGAAAGAATGATTAAATATTGGAATGGGCTGCCCAGGGAAGTAATGAAGTCCCCATCCCTGGAGCTCTTCAAACTCTACATGGCACTCAATGTCATAGTCTTTTTGACATCGTGGTGTCCCGTCACAGGTCGCTCTCTTCCAACCTAATTAAATCCGCTATTACGTGATTTACAGCCGCACAGCTAAACCAGCGCGTCTTTCCGGAGGGCGCTGGGTCAGGCGGGAGTCGCGGAAGGGCTGTGTAGGGACACGCAGGGAGGCCCCGCAGTGGCGAGCCCGCGTCCCTTTGTCAGGGGCCGGGAGCGCGGGGGGACGGTGGGCGTGGCCTGGGCGGAGGAGGCGTGGCCTTTATGGCGCGCCCGGAGGCCGTTGGCGGGTTTTGAACTGATCCCGCGGACGACGGCGGTCCCCGATAGGCCGGTGTGCGGTCACGTGGGGCACGGCGGGAGGCGGGGCGGCGGGGCGGGCGCGCGGCCATATTGGAGCGGCGCGGAGCCCGCCGAGCCCCGGGAGCCGTAGCCGGAGGGGGTGGCCGCCGTGGCTCCAGCCGTCTCTTCGCTCCTTCCCCGCCACTGCCGTCGTCGTCGTCTCCCCGCCGCACTTCCATTATGGCCGACCCCAGCCCAGCCGGCACTCCGCGGGCCCGCGACCCCGCCGCCGCGATGCCGCAGAGTCCGACGCGCATGTCCCGCCTGCGGGAGAAAGAGGAGCTGCGGCAGCTGAACGACCGTCTCGCTGTGTACATCGACAAGGTTCGTAGCCTGGAGACGGAGAACAGCGCGCTCCAGCTGCAGGTGACCCAGCGGGAGGAGGTGCGCGGCCGCGAGGTCACCGGGCTCAAGGCGATCTACGAGGCGGAGCTGGCGGACGCGCGGCGGGCGCTGGACGACACGGCGCGGGAGCGCGCCAAGCTGCAGATCGAGCTGGGCAAGATCCGCACCGACTACCAGAAGCTTCAGGGCAGGTGGGCAGCGTGGAAGGGCTTCGAGAGACGCCGGGAATGTGGGTATAGAGATGGGATGGGGATGGCAGCTCCCGGGGGTACCGGCGGTCCGCGCCCGCCCGCGGAATCGGCAGGTCCCGGTCCGGCTCCCGCGATGAATTCTCGCCTGGGAATGAATGAAGAAATGAATGAGGCAGAGGCAGCGCTGCCGCTCCGCCCCGGCGGGAAGCGCCATCCCGGAGCGCCGCCCCCGCCGGCAGCAGGTCCGCAGCTCCTCGGAGCATCCCTGGGCGAACGTGGGTCCAGGGTCCGCTGGGAGGGCGCGAGTGGGTGTAAAGTGAGGCGGAGGGGATCTAGGTTGGGTATTAGGAAGGAATTCGCTGCCGTGTGGGCGGTGAGGCGCTGAAGCGGGTTACCCGGGGTGGTTTGGTGCTTGGAAAATCGGATGGAGTACTTTGGTTGTCACCCGCAATAAGGGAGCGCTTAGAGCACCATCCAGCACCTAAAAGAGGCTGAAGAGGGTCTTCTGACACAGGCACGGAGTGGTAGGACAAGAGGTGATGGCTTTAAGCTGAAGGAGGGCAGGTTTAGGTTGGATATTGGGGAGACATTTTTCCCTGTGAGGACGGTGAGGCCCTCTGGCTTGCCCGGAGAAGCTGTGGCTGCCCCATCCCTGGGGCTTACTGAAAACAAAGAACTGTTAATTCCTGTGCGCCTTGCTGGCTGTTCAGATGGCACAAAAGGCAGTTTCGTGACCATACGTCCTCCAGACTGCCTACCTGCTTTACGCCTTGGTGGCACAGTGCCAAGATCTCTGCTCTTCTAGTGAACTGGTTTGTGACACCAGGTTTTTGCTCCTTACACATCTGACTCGATTTAGTTCTTTTTCTTCCTTGTTTCTGTTCACCTTAAATTCGATTTCTTTGATTCCTCTGCTGTAGTTTTAGGCCCACTTGGCGTTGTAGCTTTAATCTTGGAATTACAAGGTTTATCAGTATTGCAAGGAAAAAAAACAGCCCGGAGTCGCTAATCTTCCTCTCCCATTGTGTAACCTGCTAATTTTCTTAAATGTGCTCTCAGCCCTGATTTTTCATAATAAAAAAGGTATTTCATGTGTGAGCCAGCATATTGATGTTTTCTTGTGTCTGCAGACAGTCTCAATATGTTTTGGACTCTTAACTTGTTATTTAAAAAAAAAGAAATTGTGAGTTTTTCATAGGGAGTCTGGTCTTGAGCTTACCTCTCAGTGCCCCATGGAGCCCTTAAATCAAAGTGATTGTTGACAGTAACGGGGAAAGTGAGGTGTAGCTGCAGAAAGGTGCTGAAGTGATTTGACTCAAAGGTCAAGCCAGGAATTGCCATCTCTTTGTGACTTTTTTTGAGGAGGACACAGTCTTCTGTCAGCTTCTCAAAAGAGTGCATGGGGAGGACTGGGCTCTAGTGCACTGTAGTGGATTCCCTTTCTGTGGCTGGAACCAGGCCATTAATAATGTAAACATGGAGATTCTTTGTATTCTATTTTACTTTGTCCTGTGATGGAATATTTGGGGGGGGGAAGATGACTTCCTAAGGGTAGGGGGTTGCTCTTGTAGCTCTAGCTACAGCCTCTTTAATTTAAAAAGTGAAGTTTTAGTGCTTGACAGCTTGTCAATACTTGTGCCAAAAAGGTAATTTTTGTTCTCCAGAGAGCACAGAGTATAGACCTGGACCAACTCCTGAATAGTTTGGTAAAACAATTAATGCTGTTCAAGGCTGGATTCCACCTGTATGTGGCTATTTGGTGTTGTTTGATGTGCGGTTTTTTATGTCATCTTTGAGTATTTCTGAGATGGATATCTAAGCTTATCTATAATTCTTTTACAAAGTCTTAAAGAGGAGCAAAAGGATTTTTTTGCCTGAACTGGAGCATACTTCCTGATGACTTCTTAAAGCTGTTGAAGTTATATTATAACCTGATGAAAAATACTCTTAAAGCATACGAGTGCATAAGAGTGCTATTAGTTTTAAGAGTTTGCAAGGTACGATAAGAATTTTTGTTCTCAACAGAATCTTCCTTGCCCTCTCAGAAAGCATAATTGCAGTGAGGTGTATGCAGTGGCTTTAGTTTAAATAGGAGTATGTAGTAATTTGGATCTAACAGAACCACTTGAAAAAAAAGTTTTCTGGCATCCTCTGTTCATGTGGGTCAGATATCCTGGTACCCATGTCATAAGACTCAGATTAGTGATGGCTTTGGTTCCCTTGAAAGCCAGTGAAGATAAACGGTAGAAAAAATAACTCTCAAGATGTCTTTGGTCTGTGGAGGGAGTGCAGATGATTCCCCACTGAGTCGCCTGAAGTTGGTCAATATGATTTGTGGTCTATCTGGCCTCCCTATGCTGCTCGAGTATTTTTGCAGGTGTTGTTATTGTTCCCCCAGACACACGTGCAGCTGTGCTATCTGTAGTTAGCACGACATTTGTTTTAATTGCTTGATCCATTTATTTTGTCCCAGTCATCATTCAGCCTCTTGGCCTCATTAGGGCACCAGACCCAAGCTTCTAGTTGCTTTCAGAGTGCTGTAGGACTTTCCTTATTCTTTCTTTGCAAAAATTAAATTTAAGGCCCAGTCACCTATTTGTTAGTTTCTCTGATTTGTTGACTTCAGTGCCATATTTATGATGTGATGCACCAAAAGCTTGCTCTGTTCATATTTTTAATCCCTCAGGAAAAACTGCATTTGTTTCTATAGCTGATCCTGCTACATATAACAGGCTTGTTGCATACACTCCTTCTAGAGTGCCTGCCGTGCAGTGAGTACTTCTGTAGCAAAATAAATATGAAGGCTTCCCTTGGTATTTCAAATCTTGGAGAACTAAGAGGGGAAAAGTGAGGAGAAAAAAACCCCACAGTGTCTCTGTTTTTGTTGTGAGGAGGGAATGGGGAAATTATATGCATAGTCATAAAAGGGAAAAGAAGCTTGTCATGGGTAGAATGAAGATAAGAGAAAATAAATCTATGTCTTAAGACTGGGAGAAAAAAGATGTAATATGAATTTAGGTATATGGAGCTCTTGGATAGCTCTTGGGAGAAGGAGAAGAGGGAGGTCTCCCTAATTTGTGAAAGTGTTGGGGGAAGTTACCAGTTTCACTGTATTTTCAGTTTATTTTCTCTTTGTTGATTAGGCAAGACTGTACTGTATGCTTTGCCATTGGTGATAGCTGTTGTAAAGACATCCCTCTACTTCATTCCTTTAAATAAATAAATATTTAATTGTGTCTGCCACTGTTCTGCAGTTAAGGACTGTGGAAGACACCAGCAGTAAGTTCAACAGCCTAAGTTCATAACGGTGATTGAAAGTGGTCTTGAACTTCATGATCCTTGCTCTTGCTTCCACAGCCATCCATGTTGTGTTGTGTAACTGCATATTGCACTGAGTTGAGAAATCTGGCTGGAAGACCAACTGTGATCCTGTTGATTCCCTTGACTGGGACTTCACACTACTGCAAATTTCATATTTCCTTGAGAAAAGGGCTAAATATACAATGCATGCAGAGCAATGAAATACATGACCCTTAGGCAAGTCATAATGTCATCCTTTAACCAGCAGATGCAGGAGTAAAGCTACCAATTGCTCCATCACTCTAGCATCCAACAGGCTGGATAAAGCTTCTGCTTTTGAGTGGAAGTGCTTTAATGATGTACGGCAACTGCAAACCAGGGAGAACTGTAGGGCCAGAATGGTAGAGGATAAATTCTGATGTGTAACTTGAGCAGTTAACTTGACAAGGGTTTACATTGTGAAGTTTGACGCAGCCATGTTACCTGTTCATGTTGAACAAGGGCAGTTGAGAAAGTCAGGCTACCTGTTAGCTGTTGTGTTATTTGGTCTGCTTCTGGGATCAAGTTTCAGGGTAGTTTTCCATTGGTGGAAATTATTTCCAAGAATGTTCATTATGGGGATTTACCAAAATTAAAATCCCTGGCTGGATGTGTCTCTGTTCTGATTTGTCATGTGAGGAAATCGCATTGTTTAGGAAGCATAAGGTGGTGTTAACATTGAGTTCATTTAGGAAACCCTTTGTTTACGTTTGTCTTGGGCAGGCTGAGATTTCACTGTGGCAGTTTTCCAATGATGAAGTGCATCTGCCTCCTGTAAGAGGAGATGGTGTGATAAAAGTAACTTTGAAGGAAATTACATTTTTCACTGAAGATGTTGGTAAAGGAAATAATCTTCTTTTATTATCTTCAGGTGTTTTGTAGAGCACAAGTGTTTAAAGCAAATGTATTTGTGACACAGTACTATTAATTTTAAATATTAAAGAGATTATCTGTCTATCTTGCTGTGTGTCTTCAGTTGATCTTCCTTCTCAAGTACATTCTGAAATAAATTTTTGCATTGGGATTAGGTAGTAAAATAAACATCAGTAATAGCTTCCTCTCAGCCTGTGGCTTGAATTACTGTGCAAGTGTGGCACTTTGCAGCTGCTACCCTGAGCAACTACACGGAACTGTGTTATGTTAGTGCAGGCAAAGGTGCACCTGTTCCAGGGATTTCCATGGTATGCTGTAATGAGCTAGAGGAACTGTTTTAAGGGAGGTGACTTAAAATTTCTTTTGAAGTGTATTTTCATTATTGTAGGTGATCTTGGAAAGTGAGGCAAAGATTGGAGCCTGCAGAACTATGGAGCTTTAATCTGAAGTCTGTTTTGATGCGTACCAAAGAACACCCAAAGGACTAAGGAGTAGGGAATAGAGTGATTAACTTGTTGCACTATAATTTGAGCCACTGAAATGTAATATTCTTAATTAAGCATGTCTTCCATTCAGTGTAGGACATAAATATTTGATCTCAAATATGTGGACCTGTAATAATGACATGGCAATAGGCAGTGACTTCATAACGTTTGTGCTGTAGGTTGTGCTTAGATAACTCTTTAGAGTAGTGGGATTCACATAGATCACTGCTTGTCCAATTACTCTTATTTTCATTTTGATCTCTATACTATACAAAAACTTGAATGCTCTTATACAAATGTTTTTTATGTTATTTTAAATCACTTCCTTGAAAAACACAGACTCACTGTTTTGTCTGCCATAGGGGAAAAATACAGAAAACTGACTGGTAGCCAAATAAAACATAAGGCTTTAAGGACTTTTATTATTTCTCTACAACTGGAGTGGAAAAACAACCCACTGTGCAATACATGTAATTTTATATGGATGTAAGTGTAGGCTGCATTATCAAGAATTACAGCACTTGAGTATCTGTGTCTTGGCTGTAAAACAGTGTTTTTCAAGGAGGGTTTGATTAACGTTGGTAATGCTTAACTGTGATCTGATTCTGTGAGTACTGGCAGAAATCAGTGGTGGGTGTGGGAGGTGAGAAAATTTTGCTTTACCATGGTGGCATTCTGTACTTGGTCAGTTTCAAAGGGCCTTTAAATTGTACCTCCTGAAATCTGGCTACTGACTGCTTACTTTGCATTAGCGGTGTGGTTTGTCTGGCTCCAGAAGGTCAATTCAACTTATTAAACTGGGAGAAAATGATTTTTTTCTTTTTCTGTGTGACCTGAGATCACAGGAAATTCTAGGTTGCTGTAAACAATTCCACAGAAAAGAAGATCCACACACTTTGAAGTCAAAGAAAGAAAACCCAGCTGCTGCTTTGAAGAAGATGCAAGTCAACAATTATTTCTTTGCTTTTATTTTCCTTTCGTGACTCAAACTACTTGAAGGAGTTTAGTTCAAGCTGATTTCTGAGCACTGTTAACAAGGAAGGTGTTTGAGGGTTTTTTTTTATTTGTTGTATTCAGATGTAGCTTTGGCTTTCTGAGGAGACAGAAACTAGCTATTGTCAAGAGGCTGAAGTTCTTCCTGGTGAAAACTAGTAGGTGTAGAGGTGAAGTATATGCTGTTTACATTAGTTGTTTGTTTTTATAAATCACACAAGCTTTTCTGATCTTCTTTCCCTTCTTTCCTGTATTCCCTTTAAGGCTGCGATGACACTGCTGAGATGCTTTCTGAGATTTCATCTGGCTTTCAGTGTTTGAAGTGTTGAGCTCCAGTTTGGTTTTTTTTTTCTGAGAGTATGTTCAGATGAGCTGCCTTACAGTTAGACCACTCATGACACTAACAACTAGTAGTGCTTAATTTTAATTCTCCACCCACCTCCTTCTGTGGCTTCAGTTGCATTAAATTACAGTATGGCTTCACAGCCAGTCTTGTTGTAAACAAGCAAGGAAGGGCTGATCTAACTGGTAATTCCTTCTTTAGTGGTACAGATACTGTTTAATTACAGGTTTTAATCATGTTGTTGTTGCTAGTCCATATTATACATCATTTTTCTCTGCTGATGCAGTGGCAAGAATGTGTTCAGCTGCCTACCAGCTTGTAAAAGCATCAAAAAGGTATTTGCATTAAAATAAATTAAAAACCCAAGTGTGATTTTAAGGTATGTGGGGAATCTTCCTAATTCAGAGAACAGGATAATGGGGAGCAGCACACTGTGTGTGGCTCTACCACTTTCTAGTTTCAGGGTCTGACTTGATAGGCTTGGTTTCAGCACAAAGTCTTGTGGGAGGGCCTCTCTTCCATGTTTTAAATCAAGCTTTTCCCATTAGTGAGCAAACAGCAAAGGCCTGCTCTGGACCCTCTTATTTCCTAATAGGTGATGGAGATTTTTTTTTTTTTTTACAGTCATACCATAGCAAGACACTTTTATATCCCTCTTTTTCCTGCTATGCCGCACGCCTTCCTTGCAGTCTGAGGTTCCAGCAGGCCTGGGTGGGAGAGGAGTGACACAGGATAGATGCCTCACTGAATAATGCAGAGAGCTGGAAGTAGGAACCCACATGTCCAAAACCTAGATCCTGTGCTCTTGTCTGAGCTGTTGACCCAGCTGTGCATCTGAGAAGTGAAAAGCCAGAGAAGGGACTGGAATGAGAGTTGAACTGCAGGAATGAAAAATTGAGTAGGGTGTGTTTGTGTGGCGGGGGGGCTCTCACAGCCTTCTTGTCCCTTGCGTACATCCGCAGGAGAGCAGGTGCTAATCCCTCGGGATCGGGATTAGCCAGTGTTAGCACTGGCTGTTAGTCTGTTACATAAAGTCTGCCATGTGGTGGTTGTGGTGCTGAAATGTCCAGACATGGATCCTGTCCCTGCATCCTTATGCAGTGCAAGACTGTACAGACACCTCTCCTGAGCACAATGTCAAGTGCAGGTCATCTTGAAAAAGCATCTTTTAAATCTGAGAGTCTCTCCTCTTTAAAATTGTGTTGATTTTACATTAGTCTCATTTTGCTGAGAAATATTTCTGTTGTTTCCTGTAAGCAGTTCAGTGATTAAAAGAAGTAGTGGGTGTATTCTGATTCTCGTTCTTGAAAATCTTTATCCAATTTTCAAGGCTTCTGAGAATGATGTTGTTAATTCTGATTTTCTTTTATGTGTTTGTTTGTTTGGGGGTTTGGTTTTGTGCAGGGTTTTTTTATATTGCTTTTCTGTTTGGTTGGTTGGTTTGTTTTTTTGTTGTTTTGGGTTTTTTTCACTTCTGGAAAGAAAAGTGTGAGAACTGATGAAGTGCTTCCTGTGGTATTATTGAGCCTGAATCTGTCCATTCCTGTAAAATGTCCATAGTTTGATGATAAACATCTAGACCTTCTCTATGTTACTGCCCTTGCTAGAGAAATGTGGATATGCCAGAAAGAAAAAGAACGAACTCCAAGGTTGGAGAATTTGTGTTGTACATTTAAACAGGGCTCCTTGTGCTCTTGAAGATAAGAAACACTTTGATTTCTCAATATGGGGTTCTTTTCCCCTATTTTTCATAGTAGCCACTTGTAGCACTATTTGTGGAATATTGACTTAGTCTGAAGAGCATGGTGTTGTGTTTATGTGGCATTATTTTATCTTGTTTGATTTCTTTGAATAATTTGTTTGGGTGAATAAACATTTAGAAATTGTTTGACCACTTGTGTAGACACAAACTAATTTGAAGGTAATTTGAAAAGCTTGTGTGCTTGTTTTCATGAAGAAAGACAGCTTTACCTTTGATAAAAACACAGTTTCCCCTTTTGTGTATGTTTAGTGGAATTGATTCTCTTGAGTTTGCTCTATGTTTAGTTTTCTTCAGCCCAAGCAAAATATTATATCAGGTGAGAAAAGCAGAACTAAGGGGTTGATTTAAATTTGAGTAAATTAAGCTAAGACAAAATATTTTTGCTGCTTGTATCTCAAGTTTGAGATTTGGATTGGTTTGTTAGTCAGCAGCAACTCTGGGGACATTTCTAGACTTTCTTACCACTTACTCTGGTTTATTCCAGCTATGCAAAAAAGGAATCTGACCTAAGTGGAGTCCAGACTAAACTCCGAGAGTGTGAAGCTGCCCTCAATTCTAAAGAAGCTGCTCTGGCCACAGCCCTTGGTGATAAGAAAAGTCTGGAGGGAGAAGTTCAAGAGTTGAAAACTCAGGTTGGACAGGTGAGAAGATGAAATCTTCAACTATCACCATTAGCACTGGAAGCAGTGTTGAGTAGGCTTCTGAGTTCAGTACTGTTCAGTTTATTAATAACATGAATGGTGGAATAGAGTGCTCTTAAAATTGCATGCTCTGAAGTGGCAAGGGATGGTACTTATGGGGAGGAAAGCAGGTCAAGACTGAAAATAAGCTTGACATGTTTTAGAAGTGTTTTGAGGGACAGGGTGACTTCAGAAAGATAGATAACAAATAACTGACAAGTATCAGTTTGTGGTTCTCCCTGCCCTCCTTTTGGTTCTCCCTGTGGTTCTCCATCTTCTGGGTTTCTTATAGAACAAGGAGGAAGAAAAGTCTTGTCCCAGAGAGAAGTTGAGGAGATCAGGAAATTAGTATTTGCCGTGTATTAAAAATGAAGTTTTGTAGGGAAAATGGATAAATAGCATTTTAATGCAAGTTACTAATGTACAATATCTAGAACTCACTTCTGGAAGTGACTGCAAAAGTGTGTGCGTGTGGGGGGAAGGCATTAGTAGGGTAAATACTGGGATTTGACTGTCAAGTTCGACCACAGCATGTAGTTGTCAGTAGTTCTGGGTAGCTGGGGTCACTGTGTTATGTGAGTTCTGCTACGTAATTGTTGTGTTGATTCTTTTATTTCTTAAAGCTTGAGGCTTCTTTAGCTGCTGTCAAGGACCAGCTTATACGTGAAACCTTGCAGAAGGTGGATCTTGAAAACCGTTGTCAGAGTCTCACTGAGGATTTGGAATTCCGTAAAAATATGTATGAGGAGGTAAATGCTTTATTCTCAAGAACTAACATTTTTAAAAGGGAGAAGACAATGGGGAGGTCATTCTAGGATTCTAAAATAATTTAGGTTGGGAAGGACCTCAGGAAGTTGTCTGAACTCCAACTCACTATTCTAGCTGGAAAATTTCTAACTCCCTTTTTCTACAAAAAATTTGTTAACTCTGGGTTCTTGTGGTAAAATAACTTCATATATCATGTTGCTTCATGTTACGTTCTGACCATGGTATGCAATGTACATGTCTTTTCATAGTAATGAGAAAGTAGGTTAGTAATTTTTCTCATAATCCCTCTATGAGAAATAAAGTGAAGAGGGACACTCAAACAGGTGCTGTGGACTTGTAATGCTTTTAATTTCAAACCTTTCTAATCAGATGCTTTTGAATAATGGAAACAAAAGTTGATGAACAGTTGTCTTTTCGAACTTAGTCTTGCCACCCTTTCACTAACAGTCCTTGAGGCTTTCCAGGAGAAACCTTAGGGCAGTAATGAATGTACCTAAACTGTATTGTCTTTTGTTCCTTATGCATTTTACCTAGCTGGTAGTATTTTCATCTCTTTTCATGTTCTTGGAATCCTTTTTTTTCTAGAGACTGCAGGCAAGCATACAAATAAATGAGGAAAATGCTGTTTAGTGAAAGTGACTGTTCCATTGCACAACTGCACATCTTGTGCAAGCACAAGAGATACCTCAAGAAGAGAGCGATGTATTTCTAAACTCATCATATTGAGGTGTATTTGTTTGAAAATGCAGACAACTCTCAGAAGGAAGTGTGACTTTACATGCTGATGGTATCCTAGCTCTTATTTCAGTGACTGGCTATTGCAAAATAAGGTGCTTATGTGTAGATCAGACTGGAGAGATGGCCCTATGTTTCTACTAAAAGTGTCAATGTCAGACTAATCCAGTGCTGATCCACAAAAGTATCTAAAACCTGCATTACTCTCCCCTCAGCAGATAGACTTTTAAAAATTTTGTCTTGTGCTTACTGAATGTTTCTCTGTTTTTCTGGTTTTCTTAGGAAATCAATGAGACAAAAAAGAAGCATGAAACTCGCTTGGTTGAGGTTGATTCTGGGCGTCAGATTGAATATGAGCATAAACTGGCCCAAGCCCTTCATGAAATAAGAGAGCACCATGATGCACAAGTGAGACTGTACAAAGCAGAGCTTGAACAGACTTACCATTCCAAAGTGAGAACTTATTTTCATACAGTTGTTTGATGCACTTTGGTTTTTTTTTACTTAGTACCATAATTAGTTGCATTTCAGAGTATTTCATTATGGAGCTTGGCTTAAAATTACTGTGCTTCTGAACGTGAATTTGCATTTTCACTTTTGGAGCAGGTTAGTCCTCATGAAGTACCATAATGTAAGAGTAGGAAGCATGGTATGAAAGTGAACTGTGGAGGTGAAAAGGGATTAATGCTGGGATTACTTTGAATTCAAGGAAAGTTCATGGGTTATGTATCATATTGAACTTTGAGGATCAGTAAGGTGTCCCATATTTTGTATAAAGGTTATTTCATAATAGGACTTAATGAGAAGACAGCAAGAGTAGAGTCCTCTGACCAAGTATAAAATGTGGAAGTTTTACCATACCCAGTGACTTCTGTTTTTCACTCTTCTAGAGGGAGAGTGAACTCAGGCTGAAATCAGTTATACTTCATCATTTCCTTCCTCTACTGTTATTCCGCAATTATGTCAGGAGGCATCCTGGTGTCTCAACCTGGTTTCTGTGGCTATACTTGTTGCAGTTAGTGTTTTTAAAACCAAGGTGGGATGTGACAGCAGAAAAGTTGATACAAACTGAATTTAGTAGCACAGTTTTCAGTCTTTTCAATCTGCTTATCTTCCGGGCTTCTATCTGACTTGGAAAAGATAATTTTAAATAAGATCTAGCCAAAAGTACAACCTCTTATAATGAAGACCCTCTTGATCCCTCTCCTCAGGTATATTGTTTCTGTATTTTTGGACTCCTATTAAAAAATAAATTCTAGATTCTAGTGCATCATCAACAAGTCCAGTAATAAGTCTGTGGTGCAGCTCAAGTGTATGTGGTAGTATTCTGCAGGGATGAGGTAGTTATTTTTAAAAAGTAAAATTATTTGAGATTGAAGTTCTGATTGAGTGAAGCAGTAGTGGCTTATGGCACTGGTGCTATAATGTAAAGACACATTATGAATTTGCTTATGTTGACTGAAAATTAAGAAGTTTGCTTGTTTTAAGAGAATTATTAATTTCAGTTTGACTTCTTGTTAAACACACTCAAACCCAGTGCTACAGTAATTAAATAAACATTTACCAACAGGAAAACTGAACTTAGTAGTCCAACTTCAGCAGTGTCTACAAGGGAAACTTTCAAGGTCTTAATCCTAGCACAAATATTCAGAGGACTGTGATTTCAGGTGGGGCCACACCATACTTAAGCTGAAGAAAGAGATGTCTCACTGTGTTAGAGCAGCACAGAGGAACTTTGTGACTTTAGTGTTGCATGTGTGGTTTTGAGTGATTCATCTTCCTTTTAGCAAAAGCTGCTTTGAAAGTGATGTCTTAACCTGTTCTGCTGCAGCTGGAGAGTGCCAGACTGTCCTCGGAGATGAACAGCTCTGCAGCCAACGCAATCAGAGAACAACTGAATGAAAGTCAATTGCGAATTGAGGGTCTATCTTCCCACATCACCAACCTTCAGAAGGAGGTAACAAGATGCTTGTGACTCTCTAGTCCTGCTAATTACCATTACTGGTCTTTTTTATTAAAGAACTTTATTTCACTTAACTTAAAAGTGTGTTCAGTATCATAACTTGAATTTGTTTTCTGTTCTGTACTTTTTCAAATTCCTTAATGTCTCAATATCTCGTTTGACAAACTTGATTTTTCTCCAGTGCAGTATTCTGCTGCAGAGTATTTGAAATATGGTGGTGTTAAATGGCTTTTGTGAAAATTTTTGTGGATAGATGGGGCAGTTTTAGACAAGAGAGCTCTGTGTTAAAAGTTCTTGACATTCTAAGCGATTTAATTCTGTAGTAACTGGACAGCCTAGAGTAGAATTCCACAAAGCAACATCCAAAACCAGAACTGGAATATACAGTCTCTGTTCAGTGTCCCTTTTCATTCTAGACCCTATTTTAATCTAGACCTCTAAAAAATACAAAAAACCCCAACCAAACAACAACAACCACCCAAAAAAAGAACCATGAAGGGATCTTACCAGGATGAGAATGAAACACAGGACTGAGTAAATACATCAAATAACAGTACTTGAACATTTTTAGAGCAGGGTCTTGAGCAGAAACAAAACTTCTTTTTTTGGAAGAATATGAATTGTCTTTGATCCTTTCTTTAATACATTTTGAATTGTATTCCTCCTGTCCAGTGGACTCTAGTAGGACATCAAAATTCTGTGTATTTCAGCTGAAAAATATAAATTCAGGAGACATTTTTTCATAATGTTTCAAATAAGTTCACAGGTGCTAGTATGAGTCTTCCCGGTTTTCCTGTTGTATAGTCAAGTTACTCTCTGGAAAAAAACATGTGATGTAATGAATGTGCATGAGGTTACAGAGGAATCAGGTTGAAAGTTTTGGCCACTTAAATCTTATTTCTGCATTTAGATTAATGTCATAATTTGGTGGTTCAGTCAGGTTTGGTTTTTTTTAGTTTGTTACCTGTGTTCTGTTGTTTTGGGAGTCAAAGCTACATTCAGGGAACTTCTGAATTTGCAGAGGTAACTTCAAGGCTCTCAAAATCAACCTCTGTCACTTTGACTGATTTTCCACCAAAGAAACACTTTCCTGTGGTGGGTTTTGTTTGTTTGTGGGGTTTTGTTTGTTTGTGGGGTTTTGTTTGTTTGTGGGGTTTTGTTTGTTTGTGGGGTTTTGTTTGTTTGTGGGGTTTTGTTTGTTTGTGGGGTTTTGTTTGTTTGTGGGGTTTTGTTTGTTTGTGGAGGTTGGTTTGTTTGTGGAGGTTGGTTTGTTTGTGGA